AAAAAAAAAAAAAAAAAAAAAAGATAGTTTTCGGGCTGGGGATTTAGTTCAGTGGCACAATGCCTGCCTGCTCAACAGATGTAGAAAATGGTGAAAGAAACCACTTACTATGATATTTTGGGGGTTAAACCCAATGCCACCTAAGAACTGAAAAAGGCTTATAGGAAACTGGCTTTGAAGTACCACCCTGATAAGAATCCAAATGAAGGAAAAAAGTTTAAACAGATTTCTCAAGCTTATGAAGTTCTCTCTGCTCCCAAAAGGGAATTATATGACAAAGGAGGAGAACAGGCAATTAAGGAGGTGGAGCACATAGCACTTTTGGCTTCCCCATGGGTATCTTTGATATGTTTTTTGGAGGAAGGATACTGAGAGAAAGGAGAGGTAAAAATGTGGTACATCAGCTCTCAGTTACCTTCAAAGATTTATATAATGGTGCAACAAGGAAACTGGCTCTGTAAAAGAACGTGATTTGTGACAAATGTGAAGGTCAAGGTGGTAAGAAAGGAGTTGCAGAGTTCTGTCCCAACTGCTGAGGTAATGGAACGCAAATAAGAATTCATCAATCAGGTAGGACCTGGAATGGTTACAAATTCAGTCTGTGTGCATGGAGTGCCAGGGCCACGGAGAACGCATCAGTCCTAAAGATAGATGTAAAAGCTGCAATGGAAGAAAGGTAGAAAGAAGATTCCAGAAATTCATATTGACAAAGGCATGAAAGATGGTCAGAAGATAACATTCCTTGGTGAAGGAGACCAAGAAGTAGGACTGGAGCCAGGAGATATTATCATTGTGTTAGATCAAAAGGACCATGCTGTTTTCGCTCGACAAGGAAACCTTTTCACGTGTATGGATATACAGCTGGTTGAAGCATTGTGTGGCTTCCAGAAGCCAATATCCACTCTTGGCAACTGAACCAAAGTCATCACCTCTCATCTGGGTCAGACTGTCAAGCATGGAGACATCAAGTGTGTACTAAATGGAGGCATGCCAATTTATCGTACACCATCTGAAAAGGGTCATAATTATTGAATTTAAGGTAAACTTTCCTGAAAATGGCTTTCCTTTCTCCTGATAAACTTTTTTTTCTGGAAAAACTCCTACCCAAGAGGAAGGAAGTAGAAGAGAAAGATGAAATGGGTCAGGTAGAACTGGTGGACTTTGATCCAAACCAGGAAAGACGGTGCCATTATAATGGAGAAGCCTATGAGGATGACAAACATCATGGGTGGTGTTCGGCGTCAGACCTCTTAATGAGACAGTGAATAATATTCACTCCTGGCATTTTGTGTGCAGTAGTGAACACCCGAAGGACTATAATCATTTGCTCACTAATTGCTATTGTTTTTGTTTCAATATTCAATTATAGTAGTGTTTTAAAAGTTTCACAAAGAATAAATGCAAATATAAAAGCTGTCTTTGCCCTGTACATATGATGACTTCAGTGTGCAAGATGAAGTTTAATTCCTGTAAAAAGTATCAAACTCTGGCATCTGTTAGGCCATACCTCGTAATTGATTGCAGTTGTATACATGGACAAGCTTAGACTGAAATGCTAGGTATATGTGTTGACTTTAGTGTATGACCTTTCATTGTTAAGCTATGGATTAAAACTATAGTTAACTGGCAATCAAAAAAAGGAAACAGTGTGTAGAAGTGTTGGTCTGTCTAGTTATTTGTATTAAGTGGGATTCACTGTGATGTCTCTGCGTTCTATTGCCTCAACTATTACTTGAAGGTGGCATAAAATATATTTTAGCCTGTGGTATCAGTAATAGAAATGATACCTTTCTAAAGAAGGGGTTTACCATAATGCTGCTTCTTAAGGGCTTGCATTTCTAGGATTGCACTCCCTTCTGCTGTGCCATCTTTTAAAATATATATATATATAAAACTATGTCGACCAGACCTAGTTATATTCTTTTTCCCTTCTCTTTGGACCATGATAAGCCCTTGAGTAGTGACTTCAGAGCTGGGTAACTTTGAAATTAAAGTGAAGAGACTACACGGAATGCTAATTTGCATGTTTAATATAAGGTGTTCTTTAGGTGTGTTACAGGCTTACTTTAATCCATTTGACTTATGCTCCAAAGTAACTGTAATTTAACGGTAATAGTATAGCAAATTATGATGAATAGCTTTACTTATGTGTTTAAGTCATGTTTACAAGCCTAATTCTGGGTATCAGAATTTAAGCAACTGTTGAAATGTTTGAATGTCTCCTTAATATAGTAATTACAAAGCAAAAA